CACGCTTTAAGTGCGATCACTCTATCGGGTTTTCTTTTCGTTCTTTTAATATGTTTAATACTGAACATTTGATTATAGTAAAATTGAGTGCTAAAAAAACGAAGCATTGTACACACCTTTTCCAAAAAGCCCTTGATTGTCGAAGGGAGGTTAGATTCGCAAACTCGACAATAGAAAACGTCACTAAACGAATTTACATAACTCAGTACAAGCTAGAACTATTTTCAAAACTATTGCAATTGATCAGTGATCGCACTTTTTTATTTTTAAAGTGAATGTTTAAAACTACATTGTTGTGAAGTGTTATTTCCGTGATACGACCTGATACTTCTTATAATGTTCCACGTAAAAAAATGTCAGATTTTATTTTTAAAGAGCATAAGACATGAAAACAGTTTTTCGTCCATTGAAAGAACACTATTCAAAAACCTCAAATCTCGGGTTTTAACCAGATCTGATAAAAAAGCTGCATAGTTATGAGCGATCACTCTAACGATATATTTTGTGCTTTTTTTCTTTGTGTTTGGTATTATTTACAACGATCATTTCATAAACCAATGGCATCACTCGTACGACAATACGACTAGTGTGACAATGGCTTTAATGGCATTTGCTGGCTTGAAAGGGGGGGTTGAAACACAAAATTAAAGTATGTATAATATATATTAGTATAAACAATACTAATGGTCTATCACTCATACTGCGCTGTGATTGGCTACTCTACTAATGGTCTAATTTGTGATAGACCACTCGCGGGAAAATCAAAATGAATAAATTATATATTATAAATTATTTTAAGGATATTTCAATTTGTTTTCATTAATTGACCAATTAGCATATACTAAAACAATTAGACCTCTCGGCCTCGTGGACTACGAGCTAATAGCCCATTCGGCCTCGCGGGCTCGGCCTCATGGGCTATTAGCTCGCAGTCCACTCGACCTTGAGGTCTAAATATCAATAGTTTTTTTTTATTTTTATACATTTCTTATCGATGATCATTTTGTACAACGAACTCTACTTTCTTTTTTATAGAGAGGTCTTAGCACATAAGCATTCACTTGGCTTATTGTGACTCCTTTCAAACTACATTGCTTTATACATATGGGGGGGGGGGGTACTTTTCCTCAATGCAACAACAACAACAACAACAACAAATCTTTATTTGGAGTTTTGCACACAAGGGTACATAAACATTGGTTCCAAACAATGTAACGGAATATATAAATAAATATGCTATGGATTCCTCTTTCATCATTAAAAAAGTTGAAAAGCTCAATGTCTGAAGGAGGGGGGGAAATTCATGCCTCGGCACTTATACTACATCAAAGTCCTTACAGATTGAGAAAAATCTCTGTTCTGAAGACCCAGTCCATGAAGCTTGTATGCACGCCCGAAGAGCATCATGGGAAAGCATAAAAATTCGACATGAAGTATGCAGGATTCTCGTTTGCTAGCATCGATTGCTTTCTTTGGTGGTTAGTTTTAGCTTCCCTGCAAATTTACCTTTGYAGGCTCGGAAATCTGTCACAAAAGGACCAGAGAAAGGACTTTACTCAAACGACTCCAGTTCCGCTCTCCTCGAAAAATCGCTTCTCACTTCTGATTTCTTCCAGAAGAGTGTCTCTACCACCTAGTCGAGCTTAATGATGGCGTCCTAGGGGCTCTTTGTGCAGGAAATGACACAAAACAACACTTATAAAGGCCATTTTTGGCGAATTCAAGACCGATCCTCACTAATCAAATGTGCTGTCTTGAATTCCCCAAGCGTTTATGAAATATACATTCCCTAGGGAGCTTGATTCAACAAAAGTTTTATTGACAGCTCCATATATGGAGGTCAAAATAATTTTTAATGTTTTTAAAATATCCACGAACGTCAATTGAGTTAAAACACAAAAAATCGTTGTCACGTGACCCACTTTTTGGGCTACTTGGTTTGAAGTTTAGGTTATAGGGTTAATGTTGGCTAGGTTTTGATTCGTTGACCTTACGTTTGGGACTCGAGCTACCTTTTTTGGCCAGAGTTAGTCAAGTGACCAGCTTCTCCCACACCTGACCATAACTGGCAACTTAAAGGGACACTGTCAATGGATGACATGCGCGAGTAAACTTGAAAACACTAGGCTAGTGTTTTCAAGTTTATGACTCGAAGTTGGCGCGACATAAATTAGATCGTAAACGTAAACAGATCTAGAATATTCCAAAGTGTGTCAAAAGCACCACAAAATGATTTACCTCGAAGGTTATACTTTCAAAGTCCGTTAGAGGTGAGACTGTTACTGCGCATGTCATCCATTGACAGTGTCCCTTTAACTGACACACAAACAGACTACAATACATATTGCGTACTGGCTATGCCTACAGGCTTAGTTCACTACCCCCATTCTTTCGACTTTGTGTATTTTGCTGAAAATACTTTAAATGTTGTATTTGGGGAGTACTCACCCCATAACTTTGAGCTGTGAGATTTGTTTGTGCTCCAAAGCCTTCATTAGGATTATATACATTAAGAAATATCATCCAGATAAGTTTGAACTGAAATAGCTAATGCGCTGTCATGAAGTATTTTTTTTGATTAAGAGGACTAAGAGCAAAGACAGTTAAAACACAAGAAATCGTACTTACTAAATAAAAGATACGATATTCAACAACGTAAGATACGAATGGAAACGATTTTTAGAAACTGACCTTTTGCAGCTTACCGAAAACCCAAAATCCTGAAAGACATACTTATCATAGCAAAACTGAACACGNAAGACTGTTCAGGCTATGAAAATGAAGAGGCCTAACCTTATTAGGAAAAATGCAAATTATTAAATAGTTTGCCATCTCCAAAATCCTATACTGTGCATCGTTAATTCATATCGATCTTAATACTATAAAAGAAATCAATAGCCTCAGCAGTTTATGTGTATGAAAAGATATCTCGACGACTCTCATAATTATACTTGGGAAACTTTTTTAGATTATTATTGGAATAATGTGGGAATTACCTTTTAGCTTTAACTTTGACCCCGAGACACTATCTCTAAAAATAGGAATGTTTGAAAGCATGATTTGTTTTTAAAAAAATCACACGAGCCTGCTGACTCTATTGACGGAATTTTAAGTCAGATTATCTGGAATGATTGCTTTATAGCGGAGCTCCCACGAGTGACCGACCTATAGCACTTAAATTACATTTTCATTTTTTTTATTTGTATTTTCTGACACTTTGCTCGCATCCTAGCTGCAGGATACCGATGACCGGGGAGATCGTGAAATACCGGACCGCGTACTAGCCAATCACAGCGCGCGAACGACTAGGATACCGGATCTAAAAATAATCAAAAAACACTGGTATATCCATCGAGCGATTTTTTCATGGACCGACACAGGGTTCCCGCGCGTCCGCACATTTCCTTCCAAATTAAGTAACGACTATCTATTTATTGGAATTTCAAGAATCAAGGTAAAATACGTATGATATTCTTGTACAGTTTGCTGTGATGTGAAGCTCGAGAAACCCCGGGTTCAAACATCGATCTTTTGCCACATCTATTTGATCTGATTACTTGTACTGTAGACTATTTTTTTCCGAGGAGTTTGCAGTCTCAATCAATATTGCATTGACGGATTATGATAGTTTGTCCAACTGAACTAAGTCTATCAAAGTTGTGGCCACAGTCCCTCCACTAACTCCAAATAAAGTCCATAACGTCTCATTTACTTTAACAAAYAATTACAATCGGTGTTACTACAACTATATAAATTTACAAGACAGAAAACGGAAGAAATATAACGACTACTTACAAGATTTGTGGCGACTACGACTTCGACTGTGACAATGGATATTACGAAACGAACTACTTATATACTAACTGACTTACACGATGGAATTTACATTAACGTTCTTACTTACAAACAATAGAAAACAAAACAAGGTACAATGCTCGTGTCTACATACCCGCCCCATGACCAATTATAATTGTTCATATTTTTATAAGACACGAAACCTATAACACTTATCACTTCATTAATTTATAAATCATTGCTCTTGGTGTTCAAGAAAACAGAGCTTTGTGATAGGTCTTGTGACCATAGATCCGGAACTTGTGGAGAGACAGGCTGAACGTACCAAACCATCTCTTCCTTTGTTCACCTTTGTAACCTTGCCAATTGGCCATTTACCACGCGGGGTATTCTCGTCTGCTATTAGCACCAAATCTCCATCTTGTAGGTTGCGCTGTGGCCTGAGCCATTTCTGTCGTACTTGCATGATTGGAAGATATTCTTTGAGCCATCGCTGCCAAAATACGTTCGCTAGGTACTGTACCTGTTTCCACCTGCGTCGACAGTAGCCATGCTCCTCGCGATGAAGCCCTAGAGGCAGATTAGCATTACTTCGTAAAAGCAACAGATGGTTA